ACACTTGGAGATAAGAAAACCAAGAAAACGCCTTCCACACGTGGCTATATACTCTATCTCAAGAGATATTCAAAAGGAAGATCTTCCACATATTATCTACAGCCAGAACGATGCCATTTCTGACATTTACTCCAAGGAGGAATTCTACAGGGAATTTAAAGTTAAGTTCAACATGGGGAGGAGAAACACCAACTATGTGAACTGGGTTGTGCAGGTAACGCCAGGATTAAGGAAAAGACTCTTAACTATGGAAAAAATCTCCATTGAATGGTCAAGGAGTAAAGTATCGGACTTTTGTCCGGTACTTCAATGCTATCGTTGCTGCAGATTTGGACACTCGGCTAAATCCTGCAGCCAAGACACCCCCACCTGCAGCCATTGTACAGGTTCGCATACTTTTAAAGATTGTGTAAACAGGGATAATCCAGCAGTTTGCTACAATTGCAGGCAAAATAGAGAAAAGAATTATCATCACAACGCCAGAGATTACTCCTGCCATTGCTATGCACGTGTAAAATTGAACATTATTAACAGCACTGAATATGAATCAGCATAATAATAAGAAAATCCGTTTTTTGCAGTACAACACTGGCAGGAGTATTGCTGCCACCTCCATCCTGGCATCTAAATTGAACAATTACGACTTCTCTATTGTGCAGGAGCCTTACACAATTCAGAATCGACCGGCATGTCTACCAACCTCCTCTATCTCTTTGGCTGGTACTTCCGAGTACCCATGGGCAATCAATATTCTGCCCAACAACGATCTCTCTCTTTTACATCACGAGAACATTAGCACGGAATTCCTGTCTTGTACTGAGCTCATTTCTGACAACAACAGGTACATAATTATCAACTTCTATTGTCCCAAGAATACCGAATGTGAAGAGATCCTTAACAGCATCCAGAACTGTATGAACAAATTTTCCGACGTGTATTTTATATTGGCCGGAGACACCAATGCCCACTCCCCGACGTGGGGAGGAGAGCTGCTTGATTGCCGTGGGCAAAAATGGGAAGAATTCCTGGTACAGAATGAACTTCTTGTATTAAATGATCCATCTTCTCCTCCTACATTCATTTCCAGCCAGGGGCACAGTTGGATCGATTTAACTGCCTGCTCCATAGGCTGTGCCCCTCGGATCTCAGATTGGAAAGTACTTAATGACTCCATGGATGATCATGCCATGATCACCTTTTCAATTGGCAGCAACTCAGACAATGATCATAGGCAAACTAGGTCCAAATATAATCTAAGGCAAGCCGACTGGAATGGCATCACCACTTTTCTACAAGAGAATCTGGTAAACTGCTTTCATGAGGATCCACACATCACCAGAGACCGAATTGAGGAAAATATTAATATCATTAATACTGCCTGCAACTCTTTTATTCCAAGATATAAAAATAAACGTAAGCCCGTCCCTTGGTGGACACCAGACCTTACGAATCAACGTCTTAGTGTCATTAACTTTAGGAAAAGGTACCAAAGACTTCACAGTGAACCAGAAAGGTCCCAAGCAAAACAGCAATATCTCACGCAGTTACGTACTTACAAAACCGCTATTAAAAAGGCGAAGCAGGACTCATGGGAGAAGTTTTGCGCCACTGCCGCAGAGAATCCATGGGGGTTCCTTACGCGCTTCTGCACGGGAAAACTTAAAAAACGTCAGATTTTGTACTCCACAGACATTGGACAGAATTTTTATCAGGCTGCAAACAAGAAAATGGACCAATTCTGTCTACATGACAACATCCAAGAAGACACGGACCTACATCGCTGGGTAAGAAATCAAACAGAGGAAGATCTGCATACCTTGAATTCTCCAGAGTTTCAGGAGCATGAAATTAAAAGAGCTTTTTCAAACTTAAATAATAAAAAAGCCCCAGGCTATGATGATATTTCACCCGAGTTGGCCAAAAATCTCTGGAATATTGCTCCCTCTCACTTTATAGAAACTTTTAATGCCTGCCTTTTTCATGGGATTTTTCCCCGCCAGTGGAAACATGCTAGAGTCGTACCAATCCCGAAACCTGGCAGCTCGAGCGACTGCAGGCCCATCTCGCTTCTGCCTGTTTTGGGCAAAGTGCTCGAGAGATTAATTACTAATAGACTTATTTGGCATATGGAAAAGAACAATCAACTTAAAAATAATCAATTTGGCTTCAGGCCACAGCGATCTGCAGCCGACGCTATAGAAAAGGTTATTCAAACTGTCAAGAACTTACTAGAGAGCCACAGGTACGTCTTGGCCATTAGCATTGACATTGCAAAGGCCTTCGACAGTGCCTGTGGCCAGGGATTTTACTTAATCTTAGAAAAAGAAACTGCCCAGCCAACATATTCCGCATTTTGAAGGACTATTTGAGAGATAGAACAGCCGAACTCATTTGTGGCGGACATTGCGTTCAAAGAGAGGTGGTCCGTGGATGTCCTCAGGGCTCGGTCTGCGGGCCATTGTTGTGGACTGTCCTGTTTGACGATTTTCTGGGGCAAGCTTTTGGGCAGGATGAATTGGTGGCTTATGCCGATGACGCATTAGTCCTTATAGGAGGAAAATCAAGGGCTGAGTTGGAAGCAAAGGGAAGTGAAACACTAAATAACATCATCAAGTGGGGCACTGATAACAAGCTCAAATTTAATGCTTCCAAAACAAAAGGGATCGTCTTCAATAAACCGGGCCAGCAGAACCTATACCTAAGGACCCCAACTATTAAAATGCAAGGCCAATCTATAAACATCGAAAAAACTATCAAATATCTGGAAGTGATTCTTGAACACCGACTCTTGTGGAATGAAAATACTAAGTATATTACTGAAAGAACTGGAAGAATCTTAAACGCCTTCACAATCATCGCTCGCAGGCGTTGGGGCCTTGCAACCGAAGCACAGGAAGCTATATATAATCAAATATTTTTACCCATCTGCACCTATGCTAATGGCAGTTGGGGGCAGGATATCAATAAAACCCACATTAAAAGAAAATATATTGCAGCCCAAAGAAGGGCGCTTATACCTATTTCTAAAGCCTACAACACCATCCCAAATACTGCAAACCAGGTTCTTGCTAAAAAGGCCCCTATAGACAAGATCATCAATATATACCATAAAATGTGGCAAATCAAGTGGAGGAATAACATCAACATAGGCAACATCACGCTCACACCTGCGGATATTGAGCAAAACATCAACTTCAGCGATTCTCGCCATCCTGCTACTAAAAACAAAATATTGTTTTCGAACCCCACACAAACCAAATTCACAATATTTACGAACGGATCAAAAATTGAAAACGGCGCTGGTAGCAGCTTAGTGGTTTACAAAAACGATCAGGAAATAGATAACGAGCAATATAAGCTGGGAAAATTTTGCACAGCTTTTCAAGCTGAGCTACTAGCCATCAAAAAGGCTGTAGATTGGGCCAATCCGCATTGCGCAAATGAAAACATCAACATCATTACAGACAGTGCTTCGGCACTGGCCCTGTTAAAAACTAACTCTTTAAACCCAATGGTGGTGGACATTCAGGATAACATTAATTGCTCGGACTGCCAATTCTACATTAATTGGACTAAGGCACATATTGGAACCCTTGGCAATGAAAGGGCTGATGCTCTTGCCAAGGAGGCCACCAAGAACACTGACCTGCCTGTTGTCTACGACAAGATCAACAAACAAGCAGTAAAAAACCTACTTTGGCAGGATGTCCTAAGCTCATGGCAAAGTGACTGGAGTAACGATACTTCCTCTACCGCCAAGATCATTACAAACATAAAAGACTTTTTAAATATTAAGTGGTACACTCCGAACCACAAATTGACGCAATTCCTCTCTAACCATGGCACCTTCTATTCCTACTTGGCCAGGTTCAGGCAGAACCAGATTTCTACATGCTACATCTGTGGGACGGAAGATAATAATATGCACTATATTCTCGAATGTCCAATGTTGGAGAGGGAAAGGTTGGAACTCAAATTAATAACAGAGTCTCAAGGACTACATTGGCCTCTACAAACTCTGGATAAGATCCTTCAAAACAAAGATTCATACGACGCTTTACAAAGGATGATCAATATGTATTTCATAAGGACCACCGTCCCTTTTCACAGGTAGTAGGTTACTACCTCTCGGGTGTTGGATTTCGGACAATTGATAATGTTTGTACATAGGTTAAAGCATCCAGCTTGTCTGCTTGCTTACTGCATGATTTACGCTTTCTTGGGGCCTGCGCGCCCATCTTATAATTTCCTGTACATACGCGATCTGTTTTGGTGCAACTTGCACCATTCCATGTTTCAAGTAGAAGCATGGCTTTTGTAATGCCAATGTCTGTATTAAATTACTCATCTGTACGAATGTACATCCAATTGATATTGGAACTAACCGGTTATGTCAAACGGCACCGGTATGTACCATTGTAGTATATTTTGTAAATAAATAACTTGAACTTGAACTTGTCCCTATCTACCCTCCTCTAAATGGGGGTCCATTGCTTGTGCCCAAACCATGCAATGGCCCCAACTCGTACGTACCAGCCTTGTCGTGGCAGAGGGGCTCAGTACCCAGGGGAAATGCTGTAATGGTATTTGTCCTGGGGAAGCTAATGGTGCGGCGGGGGACTCAGGTGTTGGCCTGTAACCAACGCCGCGGTATGCTCTTTGGTCATTGTCTCGGGGGGAGAGGGTCAGAGGCAGTCCCTGAGGGTACAGCATTTAAACCGGGGGTGCACACCTGGGGCGCCCCATAGTTAGGGGCCCGGGGGGACTAGCCGGTCCTTACTGGCTGCCCTGATCAGGGGGTGAATAATCTTGCCCCCTGTCAGAGTGCAGGGTGGCGCCCTGTTTCAGGACCCTCTGGCAGGGGGTGGGGGCCACTGCCGAGGCCACAGGGCCTGCCTTTGGTCCTCTCATAGACTCTGGGCATGGCCGGGTCCATGCCGCGGTGGGGGGGATAGGTCGGCATCTGGGTTTGGGGGGTTAAGGGGTAATCTTTATTTAATATGAGTAATAAAACTAAGATAAAACGTGTACAAGTGCAGGGGGGAGGGGCTGAGTATCCTGACTCAAGCATAGTTAATAGTAGATTGAGTAGAAGTTTGGATGAAGACAGAGCGGTAAGTAGAGTTGAAGAGTGTGATGGGAGTTCTAGTTTAAAAGAAGCGGAAAAGTTATTAATTGAGTTTAGAAGATTTGCATTAAACAAGGAAAATAGGCTTTCTCGCGCATTATCGGGATCTTTAATAGATATATTTGGAAAAGCAGTGGATTTAGTAAGATCATTAACATTGGAAAATGAAAGGTTATTAGGAAAACTTAGTATGTGTTCTAATGTGGATAGGTTGGAGGTTCCGATTACATCAACACCAGTGCCATATTCGGAAGCTGTAAAATCTAAAGTAGCAAGGTCTGAAAAGAAAGAAGGAGATAATGTGGTTTTAATTAAGGGTTCTCAAAATGAGGATAGCGATACTATTAGGCAAAAATTTTTAAGGGGTATTAACCCGATTAATGATAGGATAAGATTTCAAGCTATGCGGAAGTTGCGAAATGGCGGTATAGTAGCGGTATTAGCCACAAAAGAAGATAGAGATAGATTGCTAATGCATGATATAAATAAAAGTGAGGATATAGAGATTTCAATACCGGTTAGACGGAGACCCAGAATATTATTGATGGATGTTCCTCGAGAATTAGAAGTTCAGGATTTGGTTCAATTATTATATAAGCAAAATGGAGATTTAATTTATGGTGATGGAGTGATGACTGAGGATATGTTTGTTAAAGATTTTCAACCATTGTATAAAACTGGGAAAAAAAGAGAACTTTTAGTAAATTGGGTAGTAGAAGTGGATCCTAAGATGCGTACAAGAGTATTAGAACTTAATAAGTTATATTTGGAGTATCGTTGTTGTAAGATAAAAGATTATTGGGAAATTACGAAATGTTATCGATGTCAAGTATATGGTCATATCGCGAGGTATTGCAAAGAAGAACGGGAAATATGTTATAAATGTGGAGAGGAGGGTCATCGCTCAAGAGATTGTAAAATAGAGGAAATTAGGAAGTTATGTATCCCGTGTAAGAAAATGGGCAAACAGTGTGGTCATTATTCAGGGGACAGATTCTGCTTTGCTTATCAGGTGGCAATAACTAGGTACAAAAATAGCATTGATTATGGATAAGTCGGAAATTAAATTAAAAGTTGCTCAACTAAATGCACAGCGGAATAAGATTGTCCCCGCAGAGTTTGTTCTATATATTGATATGTATCTTCCTGATATAATTATTCTCCAAGAGCCGTATGTTGTAAAAGGGAAAGTATGTGGATATGGTAAAAGTATAAGGGTTGTCCAGAGTTTAAAAGAAACCCCTTGGGCAGCCATCTTGATTTTGGATGATGGATGGGCTGTGATGGAACTTTGTACTTTTACCTCTGGTAACTGTGTTGTTGTACAGTTGACCAAAGAGGGTTATAGTATATATGTTGTTAGTGCATATTTTCCCCCTAGTGAAGATATTAATGTTTTATTAATTGAATTAGAGAGTATTTTAGTGGCTTTAGAAGGGAAAAAGGTTATTATTGGAATGGATACGAATGCGAAATCCCCTTTATGGGGAAGTAATGTAGAAGATAAACGTGGTGAGGAACTGATGGCTGTTTTAGGCCGTTGGGGTTATAGCATATTGAATGATCAGAGTGATATTCCTACTTTTAAGTCATCTCAAGGAGAATCGTTTGTGGACGTCGTTGCATATTCTCGGGTCTTAATTAATAGTATTGGGGATTGTGTAATTTCCCACGAGCATACGTCTGCTGATCATGCAGTGATCTCCTATATAATAACATCAGGGGTATTTACTAAGGATAGGAGTTTTAAAACATTTCTTGGAAAGAGAAATGTTAATTGGTCTAAGTTTCGAAATGTTATTGCTAATTTTTTAGATAGGAATAAGGTTTGCGATATATGTAATGTTAAAGAATTAGTTCAGTATATAAATATTATTCATTCAGCTATAATGACGGCAGTTTATAAGGTTAATAAGGGTAATTTATTTCATAGATATCGAAATAAGTGGTGGTCAAAGAAACTAGATGATATGCGTAAGCAGGTTTTTAGACTTAGAAGAAGGTATCAACATGAAAAAGATCTTATGGAAAGAGAAATTAAATTAACCGAATATCAGGGTTTATATTATAAATATAAGAAGGAAATCTTAGCTGCTAAAACTGAAAGTTGGAGGAATTTTGTGGAGTCATCATCTAATAGAGATGTATGGGGAACTCCTTATAAAATTGTGCGGGAGAAGGTTACTGTTGGTAGTATATTGTGCTCGATAAAGGGGATAAAGGATCCTATTGAATGGCAAGAATCAGTAAAAAACTTATTTAATGTATTATTCCCCGATGATGATATAGATGAAGACAGTGAGGATCAAAAAAGAGTGCGGTTAGATAATCAATTGTATTTTAATAGTAAACAATCTGCTTCATTTAGTATGAGGGAGTTACAATTGGTTGTAACTAAAATGAAAGGGCGTAAAGCCCCTGGGTATGATGGGGTCACTTACAATATGATTAAGCAGGCTTTTCCTGTGATAGGTAATCATATGTTGAAGGTTTTTAATATGAGTTTATATATGGGTATTTTTCCGAATCGTTGGAAATTAGGAAAAGTTATAATTTTATTAAAAGAGAAAAATAGAGATCGTGTTAATGCTAAATCTTATAGGCCTATATGCTTGTTATCTACTATGGGAAAAATTTATGAGCGTTTATTAAAGTTACGTTTGCAAGATTTATTTAAGAATTATTTAGACGAATTTCAATATGGGTTCTGTAAGGAGAGGTGTACGACTGATGCTATATGTTGCTTAAGAAAGTGGACCGAGGATTCTAGTAAGAAATATGTATTGGGCCTTTTTATAGATATTGCCGGAGCTTTTGATAATATCTGGTGGCCTGCCGTGCTTCAGACTCTTCGCTTACATGGATGTCCTATGGATTTGTACAAAGTGTTAGTGGATTATTTTCGGAAACGTATTGTTCGTTATTCTCATGGTATGGATTTTATAGACAAAGAGGTTAGTAAGGGGTGTCCACAGGGGTCAGTTTTGGGCCCCGAGATGTGGAATTTAGTTTTTAATATTGTCCTGATCGGCCTTCGGAATCTGGGATTTCGGTATGTTGCATATGCAGATGATCTCGTGATTTTAATAGAGGGTGATAGTAGAGCAAAGATTGAGAGTGTGGCCAGTGAGGCTCTTCGATACCTGGATGAGAAATTGTTGGCACTGAAGTTACAGATAGCACCACAAAAGACAGTGGCTATGCTGTTGAAGGGGGTTCTCAGTCCGGATCGCCCCCCCAGTGTGCGAATGGGCGCAGTTTCTATACGGACTGTTGAGTCTGTGCGGTACTTAGGGATTATCCTTAGTACACGTTTTGGAATTACCAATCATATAAAAGATATTACACAAAGAGCTGTGACCCAGTTTTGTCGACTTCAGGGGCTGATGGGATCAGGGTGGGGGTTGCGGCTTCCCGCCCTGAGAACATTATATAGACTCCTGTTTGTCCCGATTATCACCTATGCCGCTGGTGTGTGGGGCGACGCACTGAGTCCCTCTCAGAGGAAATCTCTTTTAAGTGCTCAGCGTATTGTGCTGCTTATTTGTACCCGGGCTTATAGAACAGCCTCTACGATGGCACTTCAAGTGTTGTTGAATGAGCTCCCTTTGGATTTAGAAGTAGCATTGGCTTGCTATAGATATAAAATGAGGATAGGGGAATCTTTTATTATTGGGTCTTTTATATATCCGAGGGACTGTATTGGTATGACCGAGGGTCAGAAAAGAAGGTCGATTAGGGCTATGTTAGTTGATAGCTGGAATGAGCGTTGGGTTAGTTCTGAGAAAGGTAGGGTTACTGCTTTGTATTTCCCTACGATTAAAGCAAGAACTGGAGCATCTTGGGTTACGCCAGATTATTTTATTAGCCAACTTTTAACTGGGCATGGCGATTTTCGAGAGAAACTTTTTGGTTTTAATTTGGTGGATTCTCCGTATTGTGAATGTGGGTCACCTGACACTCTATGTCATTTTATTTTCCAGTGTCCTTTCTTGGCAACATTACGGTTGAATAGTGTTTATTTATTAGGTGATGATAGTGATTTTACTGATCTACGACGCTTTGTCTTCTCAAAGGAAATATATTTACATGTTTTTAACGTTTTAAAGGATATGTTAATACTAAGGGCAACTTTGCGTTCACATAGGTGATTCTATTTTATCATTTTATATCCTGTATTTTATTATACTTTAATGGGTAGGTTATAGTTTTCTTATGGGTTGTTATTTAGTTATTTAATTAGGTTTTATCTGCCGAGATGTTTTATCAGGTGCGGCAGTATGTTCGTGGGATTTACGGGACACTTGTCCCTATCTACCCCCCCCCAATATAATCGTCGACTGTACCTGCCTAGTCGTGGCGGGGGGGCTTAGTACCTTGGTATCACAGGGGGTATGGCCAAAGCTCATGCCTCCTGAGATATCATGGGAAGCTAAGGGTACAGCGGCGGTCGCTTAAGCTAAGGTGGGAGGTATCGTGCTGAGGGCTGGATGGCACCTAGGCGACGGATAAATCTTGGTGTCACTAACGATCCCCTCGGGTGACCTGGCGAATCCCCGTTGTACGTTGGCCTTCCCATGGTGCAGGGGGGCTACGCCATGGGTGACCGGTTATCACCCCCCAGTACATCCTTAAGCATGGATTCAATTAAAACTAAAATTCCCAGGGTGGTGTCAGGAGGAGAAGGAGGAAGGTTGTCAGGCCGCAGATCTTCGGACTCGGTCATAGAGGGTATAGATATTGATGGTAAGAGATTATCTGGTAAAATATTTGATTATAATGAAAAATTGCATCAAATGATGCTTGAAGTTAATAAAATGTGTTATGAAAAAGGTACGAGGATTAGTCAAATATTGGCTAGTAAAATTATGGAATTTATGTCTGAAGCACAACAAATTGTGCAGGTACTTGTTACTGAGAGAGAGGTGCTTAAAGCACAGGTAAGAACGGTTAAAGAGGTTAAATGTGAGCTTGAAAAAGAGTATAAAGATAAGCCTAGTTATTCTCAAGTTACTAAGGCTAATATTCCTTTAACAGGTAAGGTTCAGGAACAAATTAAAACCAGTTATAGAGGTAAAGAAGAAGCAGTGCTTCTGGTGAAAGGTAAGAAAAACGATATGAGTAGTGAAGTTATAAAAGAAAACTTTTTGAAAAATATAAATCCAAGGAAAGATAAGGTACGTATTGGTAGTATAAGAAAGATGCGTACTAATGGTATTGTGGTTACACTAGCTAATAAGTGTGACCTTGATAAGGTATTAAGTAATAAAAATATTATGGAAGGTGAGTTAATTGTTGAGCAACCGACTAAGCGTCGGCCAAGGTTAGTAATTAAAGACATTCCTAAGGGTTTGTCTATGGATGAGATTATAGATCATATTGTTGATCTCAATAGTGATACGCTCTACGGTGAGGAGGTGTCAATTGATAATTTTAAATCTGATTTTCGATTGGTGTACCGTACTGGCCGAAAAAGAGAAGGCCTTACTGATTGGGTAGCGGAAGTAGCGCCCAGTCTTAGAGTAAGATTATTACAAGGAGGTAGAATTTATATAGGTTATAGAAGTTGTGTGGTTAGGGATTACCATGAGGTAACCCTATGTTACAAATGCCAAAAATTTGGGCATGTGGCAAAGCACTGTGGTGCAGCAGATTTAATCTGCAGTAAATGTGGTAAGTCTGGGCATAAAGGCCCTGAGTGTAAAACAGAGGTGTCTGAAAAAGCTTGTATAACAAGCAAACAAATGGGAAAACCCCATAAACATAATTTAAGGGACAAGGATTGTCTCTCTTATAAGATGGCCTTAGAAAGGTATTTATCTAAAATTGATTATGGACAGTAGTCCTAATAATATTATAAAATTAGCTCAAATTAATATGGATCGGAGTCGATCTGTCCCGGGAGAGCTTAGTAAGGTGGTGACTCACTATGGGGTAGATATTGCCCTGGTTCAGGAACCATATGCAGCTCCAGGTAAGATACTTGGGTTTGGTAATAAGGTGAAGACTGTCCACTTCCGGTGCGCCCAGACTCAGCCCTGGGCGGCTGTTATTATTTATAACAAAAAGTGGGCAGTGTTGGATATTCAGAGCCTCTCATCCCCAACGTGTGCTATAGCACAGGTTATGGGAGATGGTATGAAGGTGTATATGGTAAGTCTATATTGTCCACCTAGTGGTGATATAAATAATAGTATAAGAGAGTTGGAGTGTATCCTGGGGAAGCTGCGTGGTGAGAATATTATTATAAGTATGGATGGTAATGCTAAGGCTACTCTTTGGGGCAGTGAGACTACCGATGATAGGGGTACTCTTTTATTAGAGACGATCCTTAAATGGGACTTGGTTTGTATTAATGATCCAGAGGCGGGTCCCACGTTTATCTCTAGTAGGGGTAGTTCTTATATTGATTTGACCCTCATTACTAAGGATGTTGTCATTAACAATTGGTATATGTTGCATGACACTACTAGCGAGCATGGTTTAATTATTTATGAGTACAATGTAGGTAAGGTACTTGATCCTCAGTGGTGTTCTTTAGTACTTTTGGCTTTATGAGTGCGAATTGGCACAAGTTTCGGCAAAAACTGGGGCAAAATTTATTATCTAAAAACTTTGAGATTATAGAGGACAAGTATGAGGTGATAAGGTACTGCACCCATATTCAGTGCAGCATTAAGAATGCTATGGCTTGTGCTATCCCCAAGGTAATTCGGAAGCACAGGGCTCCTAGGTGGTGGTGTAATGAGTTGGATAGCCTAAGAAGGCAGGTTAATAAAAGTAGGAGGGCATTTCAAAGGTGTTCTGATATTGATATACGTAATTCTTTAAAAGAGGTATATATAAATAAGAGAAAGGCATATAAGGTCAGGCTAAAAGCCATTAGAGAGGAAAGTTGGAAAAGGTATGTGTGTGCTAAAACTAAAGGTGACCCCTGGGGCACCCCCTATAAGGTTTTAATGAATAAGCTCAAGACTAATCAGGTATTGGTTAATATGAAAAGTGGTGATGGTGAGTTATATGACTGGTTGGATGTGGTTAATTTCTTTTTGGGTTCCCTGTTTCCCAATGATAATGAGCAGGAGGATGATAGTACACATAGTGTACTTAGAGAGATGATGGATGAGTATAATGGTAGTGGGCATGTCGATGATATTGGTAATAATGATGTTGACATAGCCACAAAGGCCTCCAAGGGAAGGAAAGCTCCTGGGGCCGACGGTATTACTTACGAGGTTCTCAAAGAAGGTTATAGTATTTTAAAGCCTCACTTGAGACGCCTGTATCAGGCATGCTTGGTGTATGGTGTCTTCCCTAATTGTTGGAAACAGGGGAAGGTTGTTATTATTTATAAAGGTGGTAATAGAGATAAGACTAATCCAAGGTCATATAGGCCTATTTGTTTAATCCCTTTATTGGGTAAGGTGATGGAACGTATTATTAAGTACAGACTTGAGTCTGTTATCAAGGGTTATAATAATGATTATCAGTATGGTTTTAAAAAGGGTTATTCAACTGATGATGCGCTGATGCGCCTTAGAGAGCTGGTTGATAAGTCTTGTAGCAAGTACGTATTAGGTATATTTTTTGATATTAAAGGTGCTTTTGATCACCTATGGTGGCCCTCGATTATGAGTGAATTAAGGTATAGGCAGTGTCCTAATGATTTATATAGGTTATTAAAGGACTATCTGTCAAGAAGAGAGGTGGTTTACGAGGAAGCCAACCTAAAGGTGGTAAAGAAGGTAAATAGGGGATGTCCTCAGGGGTCGGTCTTGGGACCTGTCCTCTGGAACTTGGTTTTTGATGGTGTCCTAAGGATTTTTAATAGTTATGGTGTCAATTATATTGCTTATGCTGATGATTTGGTTTTAATAATATCTGGTAATTCGAGGAGAGAGCTGGAGTCCCATGGTGATAAATGGGTTGTATTGCTTAATAATTGGCTAGTGGCAAATAAGCTTCAGCTGTCGGTTGATAAGACGGTGGCGATTTTACTGAAAGGCATTATGAGCAAGGATCGGCCGCCTAGGGTCAGGCTTGGAATTATATAATTAAGATTGCCAACTCGGTAAAGTATCTAGGTATTCATGTTGGGGCAAACATGAGTATTACGCCAAACGTCACGTCTATCACTGATAAGTGTATGAATGTATTTGGTATTTTAAAGCACAGTATTAGGAAAAAATGGGGCTCCAGCTACTCGACTCTTATGGTTTTATATAAAGGTTTATTTTTAGGTTCTTTACTTTATGGTATTTTAGCATGGCCGGACCTCCTTAAAGGGTATCATAAGGTTAAGTTAGAAAGGGCCCAAAGGAGTGTCTTATTGGTTTTAACTAAAGGGTATAATACTGTGTCTACTATGGCACTTCAGGTTATTGGTTGTGTTTTACCTATTGATTTAGAGATAGAGTATAGATATTATTGTACCCTAATTAATAAGCGCATGGTTTTTAATTTTGGTGATGTGGTGTACGACGGCACTGCATCTGGTATTACTTTGGTTAAAAATAAGGTGTTACAGGTATGTTATGATATTTGGCAAGACCGGTGGAACAGGTCTGAGAAAGGGAGAATAACCTACGGGTATTTCCCTAATATTGGTAAGAGGTTATTGGCTAAATGGGTTGAGCCAAATTATTGGTCGACTCAGTTCCTAAGTGGACATGGTGATTTTAGGAGTAAGTTAAGGTCGTTCCACCTGGTCAATGATGACTGTTGTGAATGCGGTGCTGTCGACACCCTTCGCCATTTTATGGTTGATTGCAGGATTTTTTATTATGATATTGGGGAGCTTATGGGTTTATTGAATATTAACTCCTCTGATGATATTAATTTTAATGTGGTCTGCACCAATTTAGTGAAGAATAAGTATAATTATAATGGTGCATATAATATTTTAGTTAATATGTTTAAGAAGCGTATGGTTTTAAGGGTTGGTGTTTAGATTGGTTTTATATATATTGGTATATTTATATTTTTATGGTGTATTATATTTTTATATTTGGTTTTATGGATGTATTGTATATTTTTAGCTGTTTGGTCCCTTGTATTATTAAACTTGTGTTTAATGGTATTAAGGGTTCTGCTAGGCCTATTTTAGTTTTTGGGGGGTATATTTATTTATTTATATTTTATTGTTGGGTATGGTGCATTTTTTTTTATATGGTATTTATTTATGTATATATGGTTTACATATATGGGTTGTATATATATATATATGGTTATATATTTAGTTTTACTATTGTATATGATATTGATTTTATAAGGTTTTTTATATTTTGGTTTTTATGGTATTTGGTTATGTATTTATTACATATATGGTTTTTAATATATATGGTATTTATTTTGTTTATATGGTATTTATTTATGTATATATGGTTTACATATATGGGTTGTATATATATATATATGGTTGTATATTTAGTTTTACTATTGGTAATTAGTATTTCTGGTTATCTGGGCGCACCGGTTATGGTATAGGTTATATTGTTTTATTGTTTTATTTTATATTGTTTTTATGTTTTATATTATTTGTTTTTATTCTTTGGGTATATTTATTATATATTACTTTTACTTATGTTATTTTTATTTTTTTTTTTGAATATAGGTATTTGGTTTCCCCTCCTGCTCGGGGAAGGCACTGGGTGTATGGTGCTTACATGGTGTTGGCATGACCATACCATGCCAATAAATATTCTACTGGTTGACCTTATGGGTATGGTGCATAGGTCTAGTAGATAGTGGATTGGTGTTTTATTAAGTCTCAGGGCCTACTGGTACGCTCACGCAGGTACAGTAGGGGTGGTGGCGGGACCTTTGGGACGGGATGTCCCTATCTACCCCCTCTCTAAATGGGGGTCCATTGCTTGTGCCCAAACCAGGCAATGGCCCCAACTCGTACGTACCAGCCTTGTCGTGGCAGAGGGGCTCAGTACCCAGGGGGCATGCTATGGTAGCTGTAGTGGCTATGGTGGTATGTCTCCTGGGGAAGCCAATGGTGCGGCGGGGGATTCAGGTGTAGGCTTACTTTTCGTAGCTGTGCTGTGTGTTAGTTTCGCCGCCCTGGGGAGAGAGGGCTGGAGGCAATCCCCGAGGGTACAGATGAAAAACTGGGGGGGATGCACCTGGGGCGCCTCGTAGTTAGGGGCCCGGCGGGGCCTAGCCAGCATCCGCGGGCTGCCCCGTTCAAGGGGCGAATAATCCCGCGCTCTGTCGGAGTGCGGGGTGGCGCCCTGTTCAGGTCCCTTCGGCAGGGCGCGGGGGCCTCTTCCGAGGCCACGGGGCTTGCCTCTGGCCTTCTCATAGGCTCTGGGGGGTGACCTGGTTCATGGTAGGTGTGGGGGTGTGGGTCTGCACCTGGGTCTGGGGGGTTTACGGGGAAATCTCTAATTATAACATGGAAGTTAAGAATAAGTATAAACGTTTACAAGCATCGGGGGATGGGGGAGAAGTACCTGCTTCTCATATACCAAGGAGAATAAGTAGAAGTTTGGGAGATAGTGGAGATTTGGATCGATGTGGTGAGCAGGATTCATTGGATAGTTTGAAACATTTAGATAAAATACAATATGAATTAGGTAAGCTTTATTCAGATAAAAGGATTACTATAGCGATAAATAATAAGTTGCAGGATCTTTTTGGTGAAGTTTCTAGTTTAGTTCAGATGTTAGTTTTGGAAAACTATCGGTTAAAAGGTAAATTAGAGGAGTTGGAAACTAATAATGTAAGTGAATATAAATTAATGGATACTTTTGCAGAAAAAGTTAAATCTAAGGTAAATGAAACTACAGGAAGAATTAAGGATAACAAATCAATAATTATTAGAGGAAAAAATGAACTTTCTAGTGATGAGGTTAAACGTCGGTTTTTTACATCGATGGATCCGAGAAATGATAAGATTAGAATAGTTGGTGTGAGAAAGTTACGAACAAATGGTTTAATGGTAAATTTGGCGGCGGATAAAGATAGAGATAAGATTTTGAATCTTAAGGTTTTAGATGATGCTGGTTTGGATGTGCAAGTTCCAATTCGAAAAAAGCCTCGTATGATATTATTAGGAGTTCCAAAGGAAATAACAGCTGAAGATTTAATACAAGTTATTTATAGTTTAAATTCGGATTATTTATTTAACGATAAAACTGATTATGAAGAGTTTAAATTACAATTTAAATTATTATATCAAACAGGTAGACGTAGAGAATTTTTAACAAATTGGGTGGTGGAAGTTGCTCCTTCTTTGCGATATAAATTATTAGAAATAAATAGGTTGTTTATTGAATATAGGAGTTGTTATATTAAGGATTATTATGAAATTCCCAAGTGTTTTAAATGCCAATTATTTGGTCACGTAGCTAAATTTTGTCGAAATGATAAAGATGTTTGCTTTAAATGTGGTGTAGTGGGTCATAGATCTAGAGATTGCACTAAGCAGATTCAAAAGATTTGCATACCGTGTAGACAGATGAAAAAATCGTGTTCTCATATATCTCGTAGTGGAGACTGTTTTTCTTATCAAATAGCTATATCTAGGTACAAACAATTAATAGATTATGGTTAAAAAAGTTTTAATAAATAATAATATAGGTATTATACAATTGAATATGCAGCGTAAAAAATCAGTCCCTGGTGAATTATTGGTTTTATTGGAACGAGGTTGGGGAGGTATTCTGTTATTACAGGAACCTTATGTGGTGAGGAATCAGGTAATGGGATTTGGCACTAAAACTAGAGTGGTACAGAGTTCCTTTGGAACACCGTGGTCCGCTATAGTGGTTTTGGACGATTTATGGTCTTTATTAGAATTGAGCTATTTGTCTTCAGAGACTTGTGTTGCTGCGCAAGTTTCTAGAAATGATGAAAAAATTTATATCGCGAGTATGTATTTTCCTCCGAGTGGCAATGTAGACGATAATTTAATAGAACTTGAGCGACTGTTGTTGGTTTTTCATAATAGTAAATTTGTTATAGGAATGGACTCGAATGCAAAATCAATATTATGGGGTGCATCTAGTAATGATGAAAGAGGAACAAAATTAATGACAGTAATTTCGAAATGGAATTGTATAGTAGTTAATGATCAAAATTTAACTCCTACTTTTTCTTCAAGTAGGGGTGAGTCTTTTGTAAATGTTGTCTTGGTGTCAGATACTATGAGAAAATTGGTATTGGATTGCTTGGTAACCTATGATTATACAACTAGTGATCATGCACTTATATATTTAAAATTAGGGAATTTACTGAGTGTTTATCAGGAAGATGTTTTTTGTTATCAGAGGTATAAGAAAGTAAATTGGAATAGATTTCGTACAATTTTATATAAATTATTAGGTCAAAATGTCGGTACTTGGGTCGTAAATAAAAGTGATGTCATTTCATATTGTGATCATGTACACAGAAGTTTATATAAAACAATGAAAATAATGTTCTCAGGATCTGGTAAGGGTAGGTTGAAGCCTTTATGGTGGAATGATGAATTAGAGATGTTAAAACATAAGATTTGTAGACTTAGACGCAAATATCAACGTGAGAAAGATTTATTGATCAAGGATAATATATTGCAGGAATATAAATTAATAAATAGATATTATAAAAAATTAGTGCAAGATAAAAAGAAGCAAAGTTGGAGGGATTATGTCTCGTCTGTTTCCCTTCGTAATCTGTGGGGCTTGCCCTATAAGTTGGTACAAGGGAAAACTAAAATGAGGGAGATCTTACATGCAGCCAAATTAGAGGATGGATATGCTTCTGATTGGGATGTATCGGTGAAGTTTTTCTTGGATACTTTATTTGTTAGTGATAATGCGGATAGTGAAAGTAATTATCAAAAAAATATTAGAATAAATAATACAACTTATAATAATGATAAGGTAGTGGATTTATTTACGCAACAAGAATTGATTAAGGTCATTAAAGATTCTAAGGGTAAAAAAGCTCCGGGTTTAGATCAGATTACATATCATATATTAAGTGAAACTATACCAGTATTAGGTAAACATTTGTTGTATATGTATAATTTATGTTTAGTTTTTAGGGTCTTTCCAAGTAGATGGAAAGTTTCACGTGTTATTATTTTTCTGAAGGATAAACTAAGAGATCGCTCTAATCCTAAGTCTTATCGACCAATTTGCCTTCTGTCGTTGATAGGTAAAATTTTTGAGAGATTATTGAAATTGCGTTTGGCCTCTTTGTTTTCTAGTAAACTTAATAGATGGCAATTTGGATTTAGACCTGGCTTATCTACTACCGATGCAATATATCAAGTGAAAAGATGGACAATGGAGTCGACCGCTAAGTATGTGTTGGGAATTTTTTTTGATGTTATAGGCGCGTTCGATCACATTTGGTGGCCCAGTGTATTGCATACTCTGCGCTTGTGGGACTGTCCATATGATATTTATAGTATAATAGCAGATTATTTGAGTTATCGCAAAGTTTATTATGTTGAGGGTACTAAAATGGTTTCAAAATGGGCAGAACGTGGTTGTCCTCAAGGATCCGTATTGGGTCCAGAATTATGGAATTATGTCTTCAATTCCGCCTTGAATTTATTAGATAGTTTTCAAGTTAAATACATTGCATATGCTGATGACCTTGTTGTCTTAATTGAAGGGAATAGTCGTAGGGCGTTGGAATTTAATGGTCAATTGATTATTAATGCTCTGGTGAATCATTTAAATAGTTTAAAGTTACAATTTTCGCCTAGCAAATCTATGATGATGCTTTTGAGGGGTAAGCTTAGTTTGGATCGTCCCCCCAGTTTGGTTTTGAATAATGTATCTTTAAAAATGGCTAAGGTGGTCCGCTACCTGGGGATCAAGCTAGGTCCGGACTTTAACCCAATGCCACATATAGAATACATTACAGATAAAATTATGTTGCAATTTTATAAATTGCAGCGCCTGGCAGGTTCGGGGTGGGGGCTAAGGCTCCCTGCGCTCAGAATTCTGTACAAGTGTTTATATATTCCTATAGTGGTTTATGCAGCTGGTGTGTGGGGCGACAAACTTAGGCTCCCTCAACGTGGGAAGCTGTTAAGCTCCCAACGTAAGGTACTGTTAATGGTCACCCGTGCATACAATACTATTTCGACATCTGCATTACAAATTTTAGCTGGTGAATTGCCCATTGACTTAGTATTGAATTTTGAATATTATAAATATTTAGTTAAATCAGGAATTCCTTTTACTTTAGATAATATAAATTTTCAACAAGGTATGTCATTTTATGAATGTAAACAGATATTAAATGATGTTAAGAACTATTTTATTGATAGGTGGAATTGTCGATGGTGTGAAGAAACAAAGGGTCGAATAACTTATAATTATTTTCCGTGTGTAGCGGAGAGGCTGTTAATGCATTGGGTCGTTCCGGATTATTTTTTATGTCAAGTTTTGTCGGGTCATGGAGACTTTTATGATAAATTACATTCTTTTAATTTGGTTTCAAATTCATTTTGTGAATGCGGTGCGGTCGATTCTGTTGCTCATTTTCTTTTGGAATGTCCATTATTATTGCATGAAAGAAAAGATTCGATTCTTGATGGTAGAGACATGGCAACTGTTTATACTTTAGTTAATAATCAAGATACTTTTATTAAATTTCAAACTATAATAACTATTATGCTGAAACAAAGAATTAATATGCGCTTATTGTAATTTTACTTCTACAGTTTGATTGATTTTATAAATTTTATTGGTTGGTTTTACTTTTGTTAATGTTTTCTTTAGATATATAGAGATTTGGTAACTTATATAAGATTTTAATAGTCCGGTTATATTATATAGTTTTACTTTGATATTTTTATAATATTAAATATTTTGGTTATAATATATACATTCTTGGAATTTGCTGCTGGTGGGTCATTACAGACAGGAACAGCAGAATTTAGGACAATTAGGGACGGCTGTCCCTATCTACCCCTCTCCAAATGGGGGTTTGGTGCTTGTTTGCGCCACCTCAACTCGTACGTACCAGCCTTGTCGTGGCGGAGGGGCTCAGTACCCAGGTGCACTTTGCCTATTTGCAGTTTCTGTATGGGCGTGTACCTGGGGAAGCTAATGGTGCGGCGGGGGGATCCGGGCAAGTCCTGGTCCTGGAACTCTTCTCATGTGCTTGGGCTGTTCCTTGGAGGAGAGGATTGGAGGCAGCCTCCGAGGGTACAGCTAAAAAACTGGGGTTTGCGCACCTGGGGCGCCAGATAGGGAGGGGCCCGGGGGGATTAGCCAGTCTTTCCTGGCAGCCCTGGTCAGCTGGTGAATAATCTCGCGCCCTGTCAGAGTGCGGGGTGGCGCCCCGGACAGGTCCCTCTGGCAGGGTGCGGGGGCCTTAGCCGAGGCCACGGGGGTTGCCTCTGGTTCTCTCAAATCTCTGTGGCGGTCTGGGTGCATGGTGAGGACGGAAGGAACCAGTTCTTTCCCGGGTCTTGGGGGGTTTGGGGATTTTTCCTTAATTAAATATGGATAGTCAAAAAAAGAAGAAAGGTTTATACGTGCAGGGGGGTGGGGGAGGAGAGCCTGATCCTCATTTAGAGTCGCCAGCTGGCGGATTAAGCAGTAGTGTTGAGATGGACGAGTTGAGTCAGGAATTTAGACCTGGCATGGATTATTTACGTGAAGCAGGAAGGTTGGCTTTTGAATTTAGAAGAGTAATCTTTTTCACAAAGATTGTAGGCTTTCTCAAATTAGGAAGGATGCTGTTAATGATATGTTTAAACAGGTTGTTGGTTTAGTTAAAAGTTTAACCTTAGATAATGAAAGGTTAATAGGAAAATTAAGTGTTTATGAGCAACAAGGGAAATCAGTTATACAAACGCCTTCTGCTCCTTTATTCTCGGAAGTAGTTGCGAAAAAGGAAGTACGTAGTGTAGATAGTGATGCGGTTGTACTTGTAAAGGGAATAGATGGTGAGAGTAGTGAGGATATAAGACGTAAGTTATTGAGGAATATTAATCCAGGAAAAGATATGATTCGTATGCAAGCAGTGCGTCGAATGAGGAGTGGTGGTGTTGTCATTACCTTAGCTACAAAAGAAGATAGGGAACGGTTAATGAATCATGAAGCATTGGGTGAANTATATAATATTTTAAAAGATATGTTAATTTTTAGAATGAGTATTCGGAATGTATAATAGAGGTTTTTATTAATATATTTTTTTGTCGTTTTACAAAATTTTAGATTCATATATATTTTAGATTTAATATAGTTTGGAATTTTAGGAGTATTTTAATTTTTATGTCCAGTAAGAAAAATATTTTAGGGTTGTTAAGTTAGAATTGGTTTTATATGTTATTTTAGATAATGAGTACCGGTATGTCGAAAGACAGGAACGGATGTATTTAGGACAGTGGGGGGACTATTGTCTCTGCATAGGCCTTTCTAGGTTATATATAGAATATAGGTGTTGTGCAATAAAAGATTATTGGGAAGTTTCGAAATGCTTCAGATGTCAGTGGTTTGGCCATATTGCCAAGTATTGTAAGAAGGAAAAAGAAACGTGTTTTAGGTGTGGTGAAGAGGGCCATCGCTCGCGAGATTGTGTGGTAGAGAAAGTTGTTCGGGTGTGTGTTCCTTGTAGAACATTGGGTAGGAAAAGTGATCATATATCAAGAGATAAAAATTGCTATTCGTTTCAGGTTGCGATCAGTAGGTACAAGCAAACGATTGATTATGGTTAGGTTTTCAGAATTAGAAGTTAAGATTGCGCAAATTAACATGCAAAGGAACAAGATTGTCCCTACTGAATTATTGGTTTATATTGAAAACTTTAGACCTGATATTTTGCTGGTTCAAGAACCTTATATATATGATGGTAAAGTAAGGGGGTTTGGTACTAATATGAGGATAGTACAGAGTTTCACAGAAACTCCTTGGGCTGCCCTCGTTATTCCTAGTAAGATTTGGACTCCTATGAATTTGATACAATTCTCTTCTAGCACTTGCGTAACTGCACAGTTGACTAGTAAGGGTGTTAATTTATATGTTCTTAGTTTATATTTTCCCCCAAGTGGCGATATTAATTTTTCAGTACAAGAACTTGAAGAGGTTCTAGCTGCGTTATCAGGTAATAAAATAGTATTAGGAATTGATTCTAATTCTAAATCTCCTTTATGGGGAAGTAATTGTATTGATGAAAGAGGGGAAGTTTTGATGGCAGTTTTAAGTAGGTGGAATTTTAAAGTATTAAATGATCAGTCTATAGTGCCAACTTTTCAATCAGCGAGAGGTTATTCATTTGTAGATATAGTTGCTTATTCTGATAATTTGGGTTCTTTTATATCCGAGTGCTTTGTATCACATGAATTCACTTCCTCAGATCATGCATTGTTATCATTTATCATAAATTTTAGATCTTCTATTCGGTTAGATTTTACTCAATATTATTTTACTAGGTCTGGGACTAATTGGGAAAGGTTTAGGGCTATTATTCGATCTTACTTGGATAATCATAGGGTGCCTATTATAGAGAATAAACGGGATTTATTGAATCATTGTAATATTATTCATCAGTCGTTTAATCGGGCTATTTATGATGTGCTTCGTAGAAAGAATGTTATTCGTTTTAGGAACAGATGGTGGAATGCTTCTTTAGATGCATTGCGGAAAAAGGTTTTTAGATTACGGAAAAGATATCAAAGTGAGCAGGACTTGATGTTAAGAGCCGTTAAAGGTGAAGAATATAGGATGCTCTATAAGGAGTATAGAAAATGTATATATTATGCTAAGAAGAATAGTTGGAAAAATTTTGTTGAAGCTAATTCTAATAGGGATATATGGGGCGTACCATACCGAATAGTACGTGAGAAAATTAATTCAGGTGAATTATTGTGTTCTGTTGGATTCGATGATATTTATCCTACAGATTGGGAAGAATCAGTTAAGAATATTTTTCGGGTTCTTTTTCCCGATGATATTAGGAATAATGATACTATAGATCAGAAAAAGGTTAGAGATGAAAATGATAAATATAATACTACCAAGCGAACTGTGCCTTTCTCTGTACAGGAGCTTGACAAGGTGATATTTCGTTTAAAGGGTAGGAAAGCCCCAGGTTATGATGAAATTACTTATTTGATGTTACGACAGGCGTATCCGATATTACGATTTGATTTACTTAAATTATATAATGGTTGTTTGTTTTTTGGTATTTTTCCTGATTGTTGGAAACTCGCTAAGGTAGTAATTCTTTTAAAGGATAGGGATCGGGAAAGGTGTCACCCGAAGTCCTATCGTCCAATTTGTCTTTTATCAATAATAGGTAAGGTGTTTGAAAAATTACTTAAAGAAAGATTACAGGTGGTTTTTAAGGGTTATTTAGATTGTGATCAATATGGTTTTTGTAAAGGGAAATCCACGATGGATGCTTTTAGGAGACTGCAGAGGTTGGCGCAGGAGTCTGAGTATAAATATGTATTAGGGATATTTTTAGATATCAGTGGTGCTTTTGATAATATTTGGTGGCCCGCTGTCATGAGGGCCCTTCGCTTGCGGAATTGTCCTTTGGAATTGTATAAAGTTGTAGATAATTATTTTCATCAAAGGGTTGTGCGTTATTATCATGGTAATAGTTATTGGGAGAAAACTGTTAGTAAAGGTTGTCCTCAGGGGTCAGTATTGGGCCCTGAGTTTTGGAACTACACTTTTAATGGTGTCCTGACTAGTCTTCGGTCCCATGGTTTTTGTTTTGTTGCATACGCAGATGATTTAGTCATAGTTATTGAGCAGAATAACAGGGCTGGCCTGGAGTCGGTGGGTTGTAGAGCGTTGGGACTGATAAGTAACTGGCTTAAAGATATTAAGATGCAGCTTGCCCCTTTAAAGTCGGGGATGCTGTTATTGAGGGGTGTCCTCAGTCCGGATCGCCCCCCCAGTGTGCGAGTGGACAATGTCCCGATTAGGATGGTAAGGCATCAAAAGTACCTAGGTATTAAACTAGGGAATAGGATGACAATACTTGATCATATTGAGGATGTGACCGCAAAAGCAGTGGCACAGTTTGGTCGTTTACAGAAGCTCATGGGCTCAGGGTGGGGGCTGCGGCTTTCCGCCTTGAGGGTCATGTATCAACTTCTTTTTTTATCTATGATTACTTATGCCGCTGGTGTGTGGGGCGACGTACTGGGGCCCCCTCTTAAAAGGAAGCTTTGGAAAGCACAACGTATTGTATTGCTTATTATGACCAGAGCTTATCGTACATCCTCAACCGCCGCACTTCAGGTCATCTCTGGTGAGTTACCTTTGGATTTAGAGGTAAAATTTATGTATTATAAATATTTAATAAGTAAAGGCATCCCCTTTACATTTGGTTCTGTTAAATATCCTGAAGGGTGTTTGGGAATGACTGATGTTCGGATTCGGCGACTGGTCAGGAGCCAAATTTTTAAAGAATGGGATTTACAATGGCAATCTCTTGATAAGGGACGGCAAACAGCTATATATTTTCCTTCCGTATTAGCGAGGGTCCGCATGAAGTGGATACAGCCTGATTTTTATGTAAGCCAAGTACTTACAGGACATGGTGATTTTAAAGCAAAGTTGTATTATTTTAATTTAGTGTCTTCTGATTTATGTGAATGTGGGATGATAGATACTTTAGAGCATTTTATATTTGACTGTCCGCTTCTTGCATCTCTGCGGTCTACTTGCATCTATTTGGATCGGAATCAAGGTGTACGGGACTTGTCTCGTCTAGTCTTAACCGATGTTATTTATAATAATGTTTTTAAAGTTTTAAAACTTATGTTTTTAGAGCGGTCTTTATTACGTCAGTTTTAATTATTTATTTAAGGGTTGGAATTTATTTACTATTTTTATGTCCGAGTTTCTTTTATAGTTTATTATATTAGTTATTTAAATTGTATTTAGGATTTTAATGTGTTATTTAGATTATATTTTGCCAAGAAGTCTTTTGACAGGTGCGGCATCTTATTGTATAGGACTTTGGGACGCTTGTCCCTATCTACCTCCACCCCAAAGGGTGGGGTCTTATCCCCCACAAGTCGTACGCACTTGCCTGGTTGTGGCGGGGTGGCCTAGTAGCCTAGGACGTCCCTAGGTGAAACTAAATAGTGCGGCGGCGGCTCCGGGCTCTTAAAGTCAGGGGACTTGCCACGGACGCTGTAGAGGAAGTGATGAGTTAGGTCAAAGGCTCTCCCCCAGAGGGTACAGCTTAAAAACCAGGTTCGCACACTCCTGGGCCGCCCGATAGTACAGAGGCCCGGCCCCTTCTAGCCAAATGGGGCTGGCTGCCTTATCAGCGGGCGAATAATCTCGCCGTGTGTCGTAGTGCCAGCTGGCGACTGGAGAGGGCCCTGCGGCATGCGGCGGGGGGCTCTGCCGAGGCCACTGGGGGATGGGTTGGAGACCGCAACGACTTGGATCGGACGAAGCAGTGAATGGGCAAGGAAACTGTATGGAAAGACCCAGAGTAATCTTATCTTACTTTATATGAAATGGCTAATAATGAATCTCCGTTTTTAAAAGTGTTGAGATGTGATACCCTCACTTCTGACGAAGATAGTGATCCACAAATGGACACTAGCTTACATTCCTCGCAGAGGAAAAGAACTAACAGGGGGAGTAGCCCAACACTCACCCCACCGGCAAGAAAACGCCGTCCTAAAAATGATGAGATGACGGTTCGGGAAAAGGTCATGGGCACACTAAGAGGAATTATATCCGAACTGCAAGCTACATGCCTTGACCGGGATAATAAAATTACTAAGTTTGCTGCGGAGAAAGTGCTTGAACATGCTGGTGCACTACAAGATCTCGTGGTCGAATTACTAACAGACTACAAAAAATTGCAAGGAAAGTTAGACAAGCAGACTGAAATACTGGCAACAAGCCAGCAAATCTCCGCAAGCCCAGTAACCTATGCGTCCGTGGCGAAAACGGCAGTGACTGGAAGTAGAGCTGTGACTAGAGCAGGTCCTGTGCACAAAAGACCACTGCAGATATTGTTCATAAGACCTGAGGATCCGAGCGCTATGAAAGACAGTGAGGAAGTGCAACAGACCTTCACGAAGATAGTAGACCCTCGAAAGACATTAATAAAATTTCGCCAAATGCGGAAACTTAAAAACAAGGGTCTTCTGCTCGAGGTTGAAAGACAAGAGGATGTGAAGAAGTTGATCGGAAATAGTCAACTGAAGGAACGTGGTCTTAAAGCGCAATTGATGGATAAGCGTAACCCTAGAGTGATCATATATGATGTACCAAAGTATGTAGAAAAGAGTGAGCTACTGGGAGTAATAACAACAATGAACGAAGAACTGTTTAAGCAGTCTAATCCAGACGAGTTCAAACTCATCTTTAAAACCGGTAAACGTAGAGTGGACATGGTGAATTGGGTGGCGGAAGTGTCACCGCAAATGAGAGATAGACTAATCAATCAACAAAGGCTTTACGTGGATTATACAAGCTGTAAGGTGAAGGACTTTTTGGCCATCAGCCGATGTTTTAGATGCCAAAGCTATGGCCATGTTGCCAAATACTGTAAAGACGAAGAGGATACTTGTTCTCACTGTACCGATAGAGGACATAAATATAGTGAGTGCCCAAAGCGGAAAGAGCCGGCACAATGTGCGGCGTGTAAGCGCGTGGGCAAACCACATAACCATAATCGAACAAGTAAACAGTGTGCAGCGTTTAAAATGGCCAGTGAAAGGTACCGCAACTCTATTGCCTATAGCTAATGGCTGGTGACTTCACCATCAAACTGGTCCAAGTAAATGCTGGGAGGGGACAAATAGTACCCTCTGAACTCCGTCAAGAAATTGATAAAAATAAGATTGATATAGTGGCAATCCAGGAACCCTACACCACCTTTGGGAAAATAGCAGGATACAGTATAAGGCATCGGATACTACAGGGTAGTAAGCATGATGAGACACCGTGGGCAGGACTCATAGTGACTAACAGTAACCTGACTCTGTTGGAACTATCACATCTAAACTCGTCGCATTGTGTTTGCGCTCAAATTACCTATGATCAGTATAGCTTCTACATTGTGAGTGTGTATTTTCAGTTTGGGGCCCCCATCGAGGTTGGTCTAGAAACTCTAGATACTGTGCTAAGAAGGATCTCAAGCCCTAACATTATTGTCTGTGTGGATGGGAATGCAAAATCCCAAACGTGGGGTAGCGACAGGACTGATGATAATGGTGAGAAGCTACTTGCACTTATCGCAACTCATGGTCTAATTGTTATCAATGAGCCAGGACAGGCTAGTACATTCTCCTCGAGCCGGGGAGAATCGAATATTGACATTACGATCGTAGGTAGCAGAATTATCCCACACATTAAGGGCTGGACTGTGCACACCGACTGGACCTCGAGCGACCATAACGCAATTACCTTCGAACTTGATATAGTGGCCCAAAGACCGCCAACCGTGGATCTGGGTAGATTTGATACGGGGCGAGCAAACTGGAAGGTATTTAGAAGGATATTAAGGAAGGAAGTGGTAAAGAGACAAGTCATGAACATAAGAAATGGAACTGATGCAGTCTCGCAATGCTACTCGATTCAAAAGGCGATCCTCAAAGCAGCAGAGGTTGCCATTCCTACGAAAACTGTAAAGAGCCCTATTCAGAGGTGGTGGAATGATGGGTTGGAAGCACTTAAAGCAAAATCTTATAAAGCAAGACGGAACTACCAAAGAGAGCATAACTTAGAGAGAAGACAAGAATTAAGGATAGAGTACATCAGACAAAGGAAGGTTTTCCAACGAGCTGTTAGGGAAGCCAAACGAACAAGTTGGCAAGATTACGTCACAGAAAGGGGTAACGCTAATCCATGGAGCTTGCCTTATCAATTGCATACGGGAAAGATAAAAAGGGTCCACACCCTTGGCTCAATAAGGACGGAAGTGTCGGAAGGACTGGACTGGAGGCAAGCCACCTCCAACCTAATGAACTCGCTTTTTAAGCAAGATGATCTTGAGCAGGATACCTTCGTGCAACAGGAGATTCGCCGAAGAGTTAACCTGTACAGATGTGCGGTAAACAGCAGCCCATTCACTGACACAGAACTAAGGTGTGTAATTGGTAAAATGAAACAGGGTAGAGCCCCTGGGAAAGACAATATAACCAAAGTAATCCTTTCGATGGCATACGATATCATAGAGGGTGATCTTCTAAGAGGATTTAATGCATGTCTTAAGTTTGGCATTTTTCCGACCGCTTGGAAAGAAGGAAAGTTAGTCACCATCATTAAAAGTGAGGATAAGGATAGAGGTGATCCGAGATCGTACCGCCCTATCTGCCTTCTCCCTCTTCTTGGAAAGGCGCTTGAGGGCCTAATAAGGCTGCGGCTCAAAATAGACATGAGGGACAGGACAGAAGAGAGTCAGTATGGTTTTAGGACTGGTCGATCAACGACAGATGCAATCCTAAGATTAAGACAGGTGGTCGAGGCCTCGGACTCGAAATATGTATTAGGCGTCTTTTTCGATATTGTTGGCGCTTTCGATAACTTATGGTGGCCAGACATCCTGGAGGAACTGGGAAAAAGGCAGTGCCCGCAAAATCTATATTGGCTACTAAAGGACTATCTGAATGATAGGAAGGTCACCATAATCGATAACACGGTAATGAATACAAAGCGAATTCATAGAGGATGTCCCCAGGGCTCTATCCTGGGCCCGGATCTGTGGAATCTTGTTTTCGACTCAAACCTACGGAGCTTAAAAGACCAAGGCTTCTGTACAATAGCCTATGCGGACGACGAGGTTGTCATCCTAAATGCTAACAGCAGAAGAGAGCTAGAAACTGAAGGTCAACGCCTTATGCAGGTTCAAGAGGAGTGGGCAAGGGCCCACAAATTACAATTCTCAACAGAGAAGACGGTAATGATGCTATTAAAAGGGAATATGAGTGTGTTAAGACCTCCAACTATCAGACTCTACAATAAAACTATCAAATTGCAGGACACAGTAAAATATCTGGGTATCACAACAGGAAAGAACTTTGATGTGACAGAACATCTAAAGAAAATAAGCAACAAAGCAGCAAAACACTTCAACTGCCTGGGCAGAGTGGCAAAGGCAGAGTGGGGACTAGACCACAGCGCAATGATTACAATTTACAAAGGTCTTTTTGTCCCGATAGTGAGTTATGCAGCGGCTGCATGGGCAGACAAAATCAAGGCCCATGGAAAAAGGAAACTGCAAAGCGCACAAAGAACAGCGCTTCTAAGAGTTCTAAGGGCATATAAAACTTGCTCCACTGCGGCATTGCAAGTGCTGGCCAATACACCGCCTATAGAACATGAAATTTGGAGGGCGGCAGCCCGATACAACATTAGAAGAGGAGTGAACTTCAAGATAAACGATAGACAATTTGAAAGTGCCAGCACGAGTGAAGAAAAACGGGATAGAAGACAAGAAGTGGATACCTACTTATTGCAACGCTGGGAACAAGAGTGGAATGCTAGTGACAAAGGAAGACATACTTACCGATTTTTCAACGCCCTAAGTGACAGACAAAGGTGGAAATGGATCAGAAGTGACTACTTTGTTACACAGTTTCTGACTGGACATGGTGACTTTAACAGCAAGCTTCATGGATTCTCGACCGTCAGTGACCCAACGTGCGAATGCGGAAGAGAGGACACGGCGTTACATGTACTATTATACTGTCCGATCTACGACACCGAGCGCCGTCAATCGGATATCCTTATGGAACTGGCATTGAGACAAGAACTAACAGATGAAGAATTGAGAAGACTAATAGCTAAGAGAAACTTCAGAGAAGTTAAGAAGACAATGAGGGCAATCCTCAAAAAGAGAATGGTAATCCGGAAACAACAGACCTAACGTACACCCAATGAACTAACATCAAAAACTGAGGACATAAAAAAAAAAAAATGTAGGTAGGGAAAGCAGAAAGAAAAGAGGACAGACTGCTGGTATACCTAGGGCAGGGTACAGCGGGGGTGGCTGGAGGGTGTTCTCCTACATGTCCCTATCTACTCCTCCTCGAATGTGGTTCGACACTTTGTGCCGGCCATAACTCGGACGTACCTGCCTTGTCGTGGCGAGGGGGCTTAGTACCCGAGTGCAGCAATGTGCTAAGCACGGGGGAAGCCAAAGGTGCGACGGGGAACCCTGTGGCGGAATGATTCAAGATATCTCCTGACTTATTGGTGAGCTAACAAGGGACTTTGAGGACAGAAGGCTGGTCCCGAGGGTACAGGTCAAAAACTGGGGTTGGCGCACCTGGGGCGATAGGTAGTTAAGGGCCCGGCGAGGCCTAGCCAGCATTCGTTGGCCGCCCTGATCAACTATTGTATAATCTTGAGCCAGGTCATAATGCCGATTGGCGACCGGGGCAGGACCCTGTGGCCTGGTTTGGGGACCTTTCCCGAGGCCACGTGGTCAGCTTTAGGCCCTCAGGTTGTGCCGGGGGCAGGGATGGCGGCTCGGTGGGGCCCTCAGTTCACTGCGGGCTCCCTCGGGCCGTGGCCCCTCTCCCCGGGACGACGAGTAACGGTTGGTTTTGGCTAATAATGCAGGGATAAATTGTTTTTGTTCCTTAATTGTTTAGAAATTAATTTATAGGCGGGTAAGTTTTTCTTAAGAGGTGAAAAAGTTAGGAGATGTGTTGGATTGTTTTGCCTTGGAAAATATGGAAGTAGCAAATACCCTATGATGCCTATGGGCTTTATGCACTGGAAGGTGTAAATGGTAGCAAATACATTTAGTCTAATGGACTATAAAATTTCTACATGTGCTTGGTTAGTCTACGGACTTTAAATGTTATCATGTGCTTGGAATGTTAGGGAGTTGAGGGTTGAATATTAGTATGGACGTGTCGTGGTGGAAACCCCGTCGTCCTAAATCTCTGGCTAGGAGATGATAAGATAAAAATTTATTAACTTCCCTTGGTTAAAAAGTGTCCTGTATAAGGATTAGTGAAGTAGGAACACCCTATTTTATTGAGGTTAAAATATAGGTAATAGTATTAATAGAGTGTACCTGGTTAGGTGAGATAGGGTTTTCTTTTAGGCTGTTGGTTTCGTTGCATTCCCGCTGGGATGGGGGCGGGTTGGGTCTCTTGCGGGGGTCCCGGAATTTGTTCTGGGGCTCTCGCGGGGGATCCTTCCCCTCCCCTTCTTGGTGGTGTTTATTATGATAGTGGATAGAATTTTCCAGCTAGATCGGGGACGGGGTCGCCCGCGTCGGGGCCTTCTTCGGGGAACCGGTGAGGGTCCTGGCGCGGGCGGCTCCCGCCCCTGGTCTGGGCGGGGGTCAAATAGGTCTAATAGGTTTAATGGGTTTATATTTTTACGTAAATTTTGTTTGACAGTTTCATATGGGGGGGGATGGATTGGGCCCCGTCCCCGCTAATGTGTGTTAGGTTTACTAGTTTTAGGTTATTGGTTTTTTGTGTTATATGGTATAGTTAGGAACAATTGAATAAGTACTAAATTGCTTTAAATTTCATAAAGAGGATATTAAAGTTAAATAGTTTGAATCATTCCGTTCTCAGGGTTAGGGGGGTTTGGGGTAAATTTCTAATTTAATTAAATGGAAAGTAAAAAATTAAAGAAAAGTTTACAAGTGCCGGAGGGAAGGGGGGAGGTTCCTGGCTCCCAGATACCTATTCGTAGGTATAGTAAGAGTGAGACGTTATTAGGAGAGGTAAGCTCTACTAGTATTAGTACCTTGGACCACTTGCAGAGTGTAGAGAGA